GGGCACTGGGCAGAGGGAGGGCAGGAAGTGCATGGGCCATGGTGTGGCCACCACCCCCAGGCCAGGAAGGCCACAGAAACCGCTCCTCCCACAGCCCCCTCTCTGGAGGGGACACAGCCCTGCACCACCTGGGGCCTCACAGGCCCTCCTGGACCACACAGCACCCCGGTCTCAGGTGGGCCCCAGGCCTGGGCCTTCTGGTGACTCTGTGTGCTGCCAGCCACAGCCAAGGGCAGAGGCAGAGGTGCCTTGGCTGAGAAGGAAGAGGAGGCCACAGGGAGGTGGAGGACAGTGGCCCTGACCCTCCACCAACAGGAGGCCTGGGCCTCTCTCTGGGGCTCCCCACTTCTGCAGCAGAGCTGGGCCTCCTGAGTCCCGGCCGCACCCTGGCAGCAAGAGCGCCCCCAAAGCTGCCCGGTGCAGCAGGCGGGAAGGCACGGGGTGCACCCTTCCATCTCCCCAAACTCCGGGGACTCATGGACACCCCCCACATGCCAGGGACCTCCTCTGCAGCTGGCCAGCTCTGAGGTCCTCGTGATGGCTGAGCCTCCGTCCCCAGGAGGCCCCCATTCGGGCTCTGAGGAGACAGCATCCAGGCCCAGCCCCAGGCCGGCTGCTGCCCCAGAGTCGTTAGTAGATGACGCACTGACAGACACTGAGCCCCGGGCCACTGTGGACAGGCACCGTGGGTCACCATGGAAATGTCCACCATCAACACAGCCTCTGCCCTGGGATACGGCTGCCCTCAGGCTTGCAGTGGACAAGGCCAGCCCTCCTCCTAAAGGGACCAGGGCAGCTGGGGGGGCTCCCCCGTGAGTGCATCCTGAGCCACCCACTTTACTGGAAAGTCAACAAATCACAGAATTTTCTCACAAATGACCTGGAGAAGTTTGCCCTGCCCTTCACAGGTCCTGGTGTTTGACCCCAGCCTGGCTGGGTTGGGCCTGAGCTGGGCTCCTACCCCAGGCCTCCTGCCCAGGCCCTGTGCGTTTCTGGCCCTCTGTTTCTTCATCTTTAAAATGAGTTGGTGTCTGTCCTGCAATCCCAGGAGCTTCCAGAGAGGAATACACACCATAGTGTTCATGAAGTGAGTGAAGACAAGGACAGGGAAACTTGGGATGACACCGACCCTTGAGTGTGGTCTCATGTGCCCACAAAAAGATGATCTAAATTCCAAACTCCAGAACCTGGAAATCCGCTCTTCTGTGGAAAAGCCCCTGCTGATACTGAAGGGTCCAGGTGAGATCATCCGGGACTCTGGGAGCCCTAAACCCTGTGACTGAGTCCTTGCAGGAAGAGGGAGGACACAGGCCTACAGGGACACAGAGAAGCAGGGGAGTCAGCCCTGGCCCTCTGGGGGACAAGGCCCTACAGACACCTTGCCTTTGGACTCCGGGCCCCCAAATGAGTTTCTGCTGCTGTTCTGCTATCACACCAGCCCTAGGACACACTCACCACCAGGGACCTGGGCTGGCTCGGTGGCCGCCAAGGGCCAGGGCAGGGCGTGAGAGAGGCAGGAGCTGGGGGAGCGGGGGCTGGACACCCAGATGATGCTGCACCCCAAACCCCAGCGCCACAGCAGAGTGAGTCACTCCAGCTCCTCCCTGAGAACTGCACCCCTCTGCACTGTCTGAAAACTGCCTGGTGCTGTAGGTCTCACTGATCCTCCAATGTGGACAGAATTTGGGGTCTCTTGTCTTCCCCCAGATCTGATGGAGCCTCCCTGATGATGTCCCTGTCCTCTCCAGGCTCAGCCATTGTCACACGCAGCCTGAGACACCCGCCAGGCCAGCCCTGTGCAGAGAGCCTGCTAGGCCCGGCCACAGAGACAAACCGACTCCTCAGTTCTGGGAGGTAACCACCAGAGGTTCCTTGGCCCCGGGCAGAGAGGGCGGGCCACCTCCTGCTTCTCCAGTCCGCCTTCCTGGTGACCTTGGGATGCCCTTCAGCATGAGGCAGAGATTTTCTCTGCAGGTGGAGCAACAGCAGCAGAATGTGACTGTGTGATCTCGTACATTTCCAGTTCAAGCACAAATCAGACAGAAGCCAGAGCAATGACAGGCTGGTCACAAAGCCCAGGGCTGGGCGGCGCCCACCGTACAGTGTGCACACATGTGTGCATGTGTTCGAGTGTCTGTGTGTGCTTGTTGTGCACTGCTGCATTGCACAGGCAGGTGTGTCTGCACACATCTTGCATTCCGTCCCTTCCAGTGATAGGCCGCTGTCTCCTGAAAATCTGATCCCCCGGGAGTCCCCCAAAAGATGGTCTCAATTCTAAGCCCCTTTATGTGCAGAAGGCCTCACTGGCAATGCAGGGTCCGGGCGGATCATCAGTGCCCAGCTCTCAGCCAAAAGCCCCTGTGCTGGCAGCCACAGGCAGCACCCGGCCACGGACGGCCACGGACGTGCAGCCCGGGACCCTACACCTGTGTCCCCGGGCCACCTGCCAGGACGTCCCTGCCCCGGGTCACCCGGGCCACTGTGGCTGTGGGCAGGAAGGAGGTCAGAGTCCTCCCGGGAAGAGCTCAGAGGAAGAGCCGCCGGGAGCCAGCAGGCTGATGTCACCCTGCAGAGCCCGCCGAGCCCGAGCCCGGCTGGCACAGCACTGACCCGCCGCCTGCCCGCACTGCCTTTCCAAACGACCTCCAGACAGGCAAGGAGCCCGACGCACGCGCGTCGCAAGGAGACGCCACAGGCCCTGCACACAGCAACCGTGTCCCGGTTCCGCCTCCCTGAGACACAGCTCTGGGCTCAGGGCAGGTCTCCTAGGCTCCCGGCTCCCACAGCCAGGCCACCTCAGAGGTTTCTGCGGCTGCTTCCCTTCTTCGCTCTGGTGAAGGTGACCTTTAAGCCTGACGCTCCAGTTTCCTGCAGGCCAAGGTCTCGGCGCACAAGCAAGGCCTCTGCTGCCCCCTGGTGGTCGGTGGGAAGGAAGGCAGCGGGTGTGAACTCTCCTTACGGGGTGCAGGTGGCGATCAGATGGATACCCAGAGGGCTAGTGGCCGGGACCACCGTCACCAGCGAGTCACAGAACAAGGCCAGCACTGCCTCCCTGAGAGCTCCCAGCTCCCAGACTCCATGTGATGCCGGGGCTGGGAGTCCTGGCTCTGAGGTGAACTCGGCCGCAGCACCACACGCAAGGGGGACGCCAGCCACGTGACTCGATTTCTAAGCCCCCGTCTCCTCCCCTAACAACAGAACCCAGATCACAGCACGGAGCCCCGCACAGCCGCAAGAGGCAGGTGCGGCTGTCTGCCATCTCCCCCGTTTGCCTGGTCTCGGGGATCACCTGGAGAGACCCTGGACCCTGGGCTGGACCGGGCGCGCCAGGTCTGGCTCCGCCATGCCACGGGCCGTTCTCAGCCTTCCCTGGACGGCCAGGTGTCCAGATGCGCAGCAGGCTCCCACTCCACAGACTGTCGGGGCGTCCCAGCAGCGAGGGGCAGGTCAGAAAGCAGGTGTACTCGGCCACAGCACCCCAATGCCAGGCCAAGCAACTGGCACAGAGGGAGACGAGCTGGGGGGGTGGGCAGCCCAGAAGATGAGTGGGCTGGGCACAGGTGGGCACAGCAGGCCGTGGGACCCTCCTGACGGCCACTCAGGCCCCAGGGAAGCAATAGGCCGGCCGTGGCCCGAGGTGCAAACTTTGCATCAGGGCCTGTGTGGACGCAGGCTCTGGCCAGGGCAGCACCCCAGGGGCACCAGGACTCTGAGGGGTCAGGGTCGCAACTCCACCCAGCACAGCACCTCCTGGCCCCTCACCCTTGGGGTGACGGGGCCTTGCCTGGTGCTGCCCGGGGGCCCTGGAGTCCCTGGCAGAGCTTCCATGTCCCAGAATCAAGAGAGGGCGAGGCTGATCCCCAAGACCGCTGGGGTGATGGCCAGCTCTGCCTGCTGAGGATCCTGTGACCTTGCCCTCACAGTAGCCATGGTGGCAGCAGAGGGACCCAGGGGCCATGCAGGGAGGACTGTCCAGACAGGCGAGGGCACCCAGGCCCAGGGGGCGACCTGTAGGATGGATCTGCCCACCCCAGAGTCCCAGGGACTCAGAGCAGCGAAGCAGCCAGGCCCTGGGCTTCAGTGCAGCGCATGAGGGTAGGGCGGCCAGTAAGCAAGGGCAGGAGGGGCAAGACCGCCCATCCCGGAGGCCAGGAGACGGGCAGATGGGCTGTGGTGCTGGTGGCCACCCGGGAAGCAGGGCCCCAGGGGAAGTCCTTGCTCTTGGGCCTGACCCAGCCCTCCCTCTGCCTGAAGGCCCCACAGAGCCCAAGGTCCAGGCCGAGGGGCCGCAGAGTGGCCTCCCCGCCTCATCCCCATGGGGCATGCTCTGGGCGTCTGTCCTCACCACCTCTTCCCATGAAGAGCCCAGGCCCTGTTTCCCCTGTCACCTCCGGAAAGACCCTGTCCAAACAGTCACTTCCTGAGGGACCGCAGTTGGGGGGCATCAGCATCTAATGTGCGGCCGACCGTTCAGATCTGAGCAAGGTCCAAGCAGGAGCTGCCAGGGATGCAGGATGCCAGGCGCCGGGGCCACAGCCACATGCCGTGAGGTGTGGTGGCCTCTCACAGAGAGGACCAGGCCTCAGGACAGCGGGGGCCTGGGGAAGGGCAGAGCACCAGGGGAATTTCCCAGGAGCCTCTCTGTGCCGGAGCGATGGAGGCCTCCAGTGTACATGTGTGTGTGTGCATATGTGTGTGTGCACGTGTAGTATGTGGTGTGGAAGGCTGGTATGCAGCAGGGGCCTCCTGCTGCACGCTGGGCCGTGGTCCCCCTGAAATGCCTGTCTGCGTTCTCCCGGGAGGGGACACAGGTGCCACACATGGCCACCCTCTTGCCATCCTCCTCCTGGGAGGGCTGCACCCTCCGCCTCCTGGCCCGGGGCTCTTTCCCCGATGGCGCTGGCAGGGCCCTCGTGACTGTGCTAGCTCCCCAATGGCAGGCGTGATCCAGGCGAGCCCCCTCCTACAGTCCCCACAGGAACAGCACAATGCCAGACAGCGACTGCTTGTGACACCTGCTCTTTATTGGCTGCCATGGGCTGCGTTCTGGGTGACAGAGGTCCCCGAGCGGTACTACATAGAGGAGGGGTGCAGGAAGGCGAAGCGAGGGAGCAGGCCGGGAGCCCCGGTGCCCAGACTTTTCGGCACTGTGGGCGGCACAGTCGGGACCTGCGGAGGGGGTGCCCAGGACCAGGCCCCACCCCGACGGCTGGCAAGGGCTGTTCTAAGGGCATGGCACTGCAGGCCACGGCCCGAGGCCTCCGGAGCACTCTCTCAAACCCTCGTTCCCTCTGAGAAGATGAAAAGGAAACAAAGAAAAGAAGGCAGACGCCTCTTCTGTGGTCCCCGGGCTCAGTGGGTCGGGGCCGCAGGGGCAGCCGGGCCGAGGCAGGTTTAGGATGAGGGCGCTGAGCTGGGCTTTTCCTCCCGAGACACGGGGATGGCCCGCTCGCTGTGGCCAGCATCCAGGCCAGACTGGACCTTAGGACCAGAAAAGGTCAGCATGCCGTCAGCGGACAGGGAGCAGGAGAGGGCCGACTGGTCCACGCTGGAGGGCAGGCGGTAGCGGCGGTGGAACTCGCGGGAGATGTAGCCGTGGTCGTCCTGGGAATGGCCGGAGAGGGGCTCGGTCAGAGCGTGGGCCAGCGGGGACTGCCGTCCCCCTCAGCGGAGGCCCATCCTGGAACCCGAGGTGACCGGGCTGTGCTGTTTCCCCAGGGCCGGCCGGAAGGCTGCGCAGCCAGGAGCCCCAGCCCTGTGGGGCTCAGGATGGCAGTGGCCGCAGGCCCGGGGGCACTGGCTGGGTCAGCTGTCGCCTCCTCCCTGGCCCGCCCAGCTCACCTGTCGCTCGTTGTGCTTGCCGTGGATCTCCACAAAATCCTCCTGCACCTTCACGGTCAGGTCCTCGGGGGAGAAGTGTTTCACATCCAGGAAGATGACGAACTTCTCTCGGTCAGATCGGACCTGAAACCCAAACCCTGGTGTGGAGCTGCCCAGAGACTGGCTGGCTGAGGGAGGGCACTGCTGTGGGCCCGCTGGACAGGCAAGCCTGCTCCGTGCTGTCCCACCCACCAGAACACCCTGGTCACGGGGCCTGCTGCGGTGGAGCCACAGGCTGAGGAAGCAGCGTTCCAGGCTGGCGCTAGCACCGGCACCGTGTCCCTGGCCTCAGCCTGGGTGGTAGCAGGTTGGCGGGTTGGCTGCACATTGGCTGGCTGGCTACAGGTTGGCTGGCTAACCAGGCTGGGTTGCTGGTTACAGCTTGGACGGCTGGTTGGTGAGTGGACTTGCTGCCTGGGTGTGGGCCAGCTTGGGTCGGGTTTGGCTAGCTGGCGGGTGGTGGGCTGGGTGCTTCATTAAGGGCTGGCCGCCGTCTGGTTATGGCGGCGGCCGCTCATGGGCTGCTGGCTCCCTGACAGCTGGTGGGCTGGCTGGGGGTGAGCAGGAGAGGAGAGTCGCTGTCCCAGCCTCACCTCCTCCCTCAGCAGCCCCGCAGCCCAGCCGCTGCCAGTGGTGTGAAGCCAGCTGCCAGCCCACCAAGCCCCCCGGCCGGAGCTCAGCACCTCCCCAGCACCTTCCTCCCTGCAGCAGTGTCCCTGCTCTGGGGAGCCTTTGCGTTCGGGCAGCGGGGACACTCAGCTGCCACAGAACAGGGGCTGATCCTCCCTGGGGCAGGGAGGGAGGTGCCCGCGCGGCCTCTCCTCGCCCTTGGCTGGGGCCCCCGGGAGCCGGGCAGAGCCCCGAGCCCACAGTGCTGCTGGCTGTGCAGACAGGAACTCGCTCCTCTCTGGTCTCAGGCAGCGAATCCCACCTGCACCCAGAAGGGAAAATGCGGGAGCAGCGAGCCCTGGAGCTCGCCTGGGCCATCGACTTGCCTTGGCGGGGGTGTTCTTGGGGTTTCCAGCATGTGGTTGGTGCATCACAAACCACATATGGGTCATGAGCTGATGGAGGAAAAGACAGCAGTCGGCACGGGCCAGCTTCCTCCTCCGAGCCTCCCAGCGGGGCAGGAGGCTCCCGCCCAGCCTCTACAAGGTGGCCAGCTCCATGGAGCCGGACGTGAGCACCGGGGACATCAGTGGCCCCTCGGGCGTCCCTAGCTGTCCTCTCCCTGCCCAGCCAGGCCTTTACCTCGGAGATGCCGGAGTCCAGCACGGTGCGGAAGAGGGACTGGCGGTAATAGGGGCTGATGGTGGAGGACAGGAAGGGCAGCAGGTCATACTCCAAGAGGCCCTCGCCAAAGAACTGGTCGAACAGCCGGCTGGGGTAGAAGGGCCCCAGCGCGCGCTTGAACCAGGGGTGCTGGATGGTCACGTCCATGTCCACTCTGGCCACAGGGAATGTAGGCAGGCGACACGACGGGTTGGGCAGGGGCCTCAGGCAGAGCAGTGGGGAGCTTGGGAGCCAGCCTTCCCTATATATGCCGGAGAGAATGGAGGCATTAAAGGGATTTCCCTGAGATGCCTGAGCTCAGGGAGGAGGCTGCACTGTCAGCAGAGCCAGTCGGGCTCTGTGCCCGCCTCCCCCAGCCTGCAGCCCGCGCGAGGACAGAGGGCCCCAAGGAGCTGTCCCCACACCCACCACCGAGGGCCGCGGAGGACCCCAGGGCTGCACACTTTGTCCTAAGTGGTCCTCACAGCCACCCTTGGAAGGGGACTCATAGCCTTGCTTCCCAGGTGGGGAAACTGAGGTACAGAAGTTAGTGCCCGAATCTCACAGCTGCTAGATGAGAGGACGCTGCTCCTCAGAAGCAGAATCATGGTCTGGGCGTGATGGCGCACACCTGTAATCTCAGTACTCGGGAGGCTGAGGCAGGAGGATTGCAAGTTCAAGTCCAACTTGGGCCACTTAGCGAGAGCCTGTCCCAAAAGAAAAAAATAACAAAGGGCCAGGGATGGAGCTCAGCGTGAAGGCTGAGGGTTCAATCCCCAGTGCCACCAAAAAGAACAAAACAACAAAAACAAGGCGGGGGGTCATGTGACAGTGAAAGGAAGGTGGAGAACCGCCTTCCTCAGCGAGGCTGGCCCCAGAGGACAGGTCTTCACCTCCATGCACGCATCCATGAGTCTGCAGAAGGTGACGAAGGCCCTGCAGTTGCGGAGATGATTAGTCTCAGTATGTAATTCAACTCACAGAGATCCTCCTTCCTCAGCCTTCTACATGCTGGGACAACAGGTGTGCGCCACCATCTCTGGCTCTGCACTTCTGCTTTCTAAACAGGAAATGTTAAGCCACCCCATCTGTCATACAGCAGCACCCCCACATTCACTTGGGGTTTTGTCTGCTGCAGTTTTAGTTACTTGTCACTAACCATGGTCCAAAGGTGCAATGAAAAATTCCAGAACAACCAATTCAGATGTGTTTTTTGTTTTGTCTTATTTTGGTTTTTGTTTTATTTTGTTTTGGTTTTGTTGGTTTTTTGAGACAGAGTCTCACTCTGTAGTTCAGACTGGCCTCGAACTCACTATGTAGCCCAAACTGGCTTTGAATTTGCCGAGATCCTCCTGCCTCAGGCTCCCCCATGCTGGGATTACAGGCGTGCACCACCACGCCCAGTGAATTCATCTGTTTTCCAATGCTCTCCTGAAGGACTCTCTTGTCACCCCACCCCATCATCCCAGCTGGGATGTGAATCGCTCCTGTGTCCACGTTGTGTCCACTCCCTGTCCCTTGGTCACTTAGCAGCCACCGGCGAGCAGGGCTGTGCTCCAGTGACACTCGCTCTGTTCAGTGATGGCCCCAAAGCCCGAGAGTGACAGCGCTGGCCGTTCAGATACGCCAGAGAGAAGCCAGGGGATGAGGAGGCTGGCCGTCCCCGCTGCACAAGGAAAGAAAAAGCCAGTGTCCGGGAATGGCTACAGCTCTCTAGTGAGGGGAAACTGCGGCCACCAGGGAGGAAAAGGAAGTTGGTCCTGCCCCACCACAGGCGGCAAAGCTTCCGTCACCCTGAGCCACGGGGAAAAGGCGGAGATCCCAGCACCCAGTGCAGTCCCAGAGGCACCCGTTGGGGGCTGGACCGTCCTGCGCCAGAGGGAGGAAAGGCAGTGCCTGGCCACGGCCTCTTCTGATCGTCCACTGTTTTATGGGAGAAACAGAAAACCTGGATTGCCCGATCACAGTGGAAGCAAGCCAGGCAGGACGGCATGGGGGACAGGCCGCCAAGGTGCCACTGCGGGTCCTCAGTGCGCGATACGATACATGTGTGCGGCGAGTGTGAGTGTGTGTCTGTGTTGTGTGATGGGGGACCTCAGCTTGCGGGTCCCCTCGCCGCTCCCTAGCTTTCTCCTGTCCTCAGCATTCCAGCCCCGAGGTGCCCAGCGCACCCGGCCCCTCGCCCCAAAGGCAACACTGACCGAGGGGAGGATTCCCACGACGCCAGCAGTCTGCCACGCTGCACAAAGCCCCAGTGCCCGATTTTCCACTCCAGGGCCCCGCAGGGAGATGGGCATTGTGCAGGGCAGCAGGAATGCGTCCACTAAGCCCCGGCCTCTCGGTCAGCAGGTCAGACGGGCCGGCGCTGCCAGCCACCACGCCCGGAAGGAAGAGGCTCGGTCCCACTCACCGCCCCTGCAGGACAAAGCCCCAGGGCCTCACGAGGGGCCCAAGACCCTGTAGAGCGTCTGAGGGCTCCAGAGTCAGCTTGGGGAGAAGCCCTTTAGGAATCAGAGGGAACTCCCCCCATGCACCCCAGGAGTCACAGGTCGCGGCTGGGTGGCAGACAGTTCCTGCACACCTCTTCTAGCCACCCTTACTGTCACCGATCGTTCCTGCCAGGGAAGGAAATACAGCTCTGTCTTGTTGAGTTTATTTCCATTACAAAAATGCTCACAATCTTAAAGGGAGAAAAACATGATCCAGCGAACAGCTGTAGAGGCCTCAGGCAGATTCAGCCATTATGATCTTTCCCTGCTGCAGCATTTTACACCAGAGGCCAGGCACCTTCAGGTCCCTCTTAACAGGGTGCACATTTCCTCATGGAAGCACAAACTCCATTTCGCAGGTCATGAGGCTGAAAAGAACCTGATACCTAAAACCTACTTCTTTATCAAATATTCATGATTTTATTTCAAATCTGTTCTTCTCTAGCTGAACTTGGTGACACACGCCTGTTATTCCAGCCCTTGGGGGAAGGGGGGGGGCAGGAGGATCACGAGAGAGTTTGAGGCCAGCCTGGGCTACATAGCAAGACTCTGTCTCAAAAAAGTAAAAAAGAAAAGTTCTTTTCCAATTGATTAGCGGGCTGTCTTGGCTCACGCCTGTAATCCCAGCACTCCGGAGGCTAAGGCAGGAGGATCGCTGCAAGTTCAAGGCCAGCCTGGGCCGCACAATGAGTTCAAGAACTATATAGTGAGACCTTGTCTCAAAAAAAGAAAAGAAAAAAACAGGAACCAATTGATTTATTAGAATCATGACCCTGCCCCCCAAATCTACTTTGCTCTGGTTATTAGACCCCTGTCCGAATTCCTTTCTGCACTACTGAAAAGGTCGAGTGAGTTTTTCTTCTCTTCTGCGGACAGTGGACAAGGTGGCTCATTGTGTGAGGTCCAGGCCGAGCTGACTTTACCTGGAATCACTCCAGCTTAGTCACTGCCTCGGCCCAGGTGGCCTCAAACAGGAGTACAGGCCATGGGCATAGATGCCTCACTGGGAAGAGCAGGAGGACACCCCTCGGGAGCTCCCCACCTCCTGCCTCTGCCCTGGGCCCCTCCCGGCAGCCACTGGGGAGCCCAGGCAGGTCAGCCCAGGCCCGTCCTGCAGGGAGGCTGGGTATTTAGGGGACAGGGGTTTCTGGCGCCTCGGTGATGCTGAGAAGTTTGGCCGTCCGCTGGGCACCCTGGGGTAGCTTTTCTCTCTCGTTGTCCTTACTTGGCTTTGAGGCACGGGCACAGCTGCCTCCTGGGATGGGCAGGGCGTGTTTTCCACCTTCCCCTTCTTCAGAAGAGTCTAAAACGGAAACTATTTTTCTAATGTTAGTTAGACCTGCCTGCCCAAGGCTGGGCCTGTTGCTCTCTTCCTGACCCCATTTGTTTCTACTGATTTTGTTTTTTCTTTTCATGGTTGTAAGATTTCCTGTTTTCTTCTTTTTGTTTTTTTCTTGAGTCAATTTCAGCAAGTTGAAATTTTTCTTTTTAAAAAAAAAAATACTGCTCTTTGTGACTATTCAAGAGTCCTGGCATGAGGCGGCTCGCCGCGTACACGAACTGAAACAGCTCGTTGCTCTCTACTGAGCGCCCTGAGCAGCCCCCGGGGTCATGTCCCGATTTCTTCCATCCCCATTTTCCCTATCAATTTTCCACGTCTGTTCACTTTATCAGATTCCTAAAGAATCAGCTGCTGGCTTTGTTGGCCCTCTCTTCGGTGAGCTGGTTTCCACTGCATTCATTTCTGCTCCTATATTTATTATCTTCTGTCTTCTGTTTTTTGGATGTCTTTATTCTCCTATTAATTCCCTTAACTTTCACATGGTTATTTTGCTGTTCTGGTTTCGTTTTTGCCTTTCCTTCGGCTCTAATGTTAGCACGTGAGAAGTGATGACCCCTTTCTCACTGGCCTGCACCCTACAAGTCTAAGGGGTGAGCTCAGGCCCTGAGTAGTGTCACATGCCATGCTCATGGGGTCGGAGATGGGCGCTGGATGGCCGGGCAGGAGCCCTCAGTCCCGGGGCACGGGGCAGCACCAACACCAGGTCACCAGGCCTGTGACTGGGCCATCTCATTAACTCCAGGCCCCTGCTCCCTGGCAAGTGTCCCTGAAGAAAGCAATGAGCCGCTCACACACTACTGCCAGACAGCCTGGGGCCACCACGTCTCCCCCAGCCCCAAACATACTGACCCATTCGGGGCTCTCCATCACACCAGACAGCGTGAGGGGCTGCATTTCCAAGTTTGGCAGTCTTCCCTGCCGCTTTGCCCTGACTTGTGTCTTTGGTAAACAAGGACATTTACTAACCGCCTTCTGCTAAGGGCCAGACTTCATCTCCAGGTTCAAAAATCATGCTAGAACCAGGTGTGGTGGCACACATCTGCGATCTCACCACTTGGGAGGCTGAGGCAGGAGGATCACTGCAAGTTCGAGGCCAGCCTGGGCTGCACAGTGAGACCCTGTCTCAAAAAAACCCCAAAAAACAACTGAGTTAGGCCAGGCCAAAGTCTATGTCAAGCAGATGTCAGTACAGCCGGGCAGTGCCCAGACCCTTGTGACTGAAGTGGTATAGGAAACCGGGGTTTCTGTTTAACAGCAAGACCCCAGCCCACCCCCTAGAACGTGCTTAAATTCCAGCTTCACGGACTATGAAACTCCTTTCACGGATGGAGAAAAGTAAATGTCAGAAACATGACTATTCAAAAGCCATCCGGGAAGGCACAATGCTTCAGAGCAGTGAGACAGAAATGTCAATCTGCTCATTTCTCTCCCAGGCCTGCACGTCTGCCGTGAAATCCTGGTGCTGAAGCAAGGGATTGTTACACCAGGCAGATAACGTTTCTCAGGTTCCTGGGTGTGCTCATTTACATAGTCGGGAAGGACACAGGCCTGTGGCTTTTTCAACCTGCCAGCTCGACCCGGACCTGGTCCTCTCCATCCGGGACCCTTTCACCGCAGTCTTCACAGGATGGGACCTCAGCGACTCCACCGACTCCACCATGAAGTCCCACCTGTTTCCTGATCCGAAGCTTCTCGGCTGTGCGCGTTGCTTTACACCTCGGCACTTGAATATTCATGCTCACCTTTAAAGTTCAGTTCCTCCTACTACGTTCCAGCTTGTTTCACGAACAACAATCCCCTCCTTGGCGCACGCTGGTGCCTTCCCTGCCAGCTCCGCTCAATCCGTCCCTGGCATGGATCCCCACACACACACATGCACCGTTTCTGTTTTCTCATGGCT